TGTATGTGTAGGAATTTCCCCTCGATCCCTTACTTTCAGAGCCGCCACTTTGTTGCTGGTCCCTAGGTATGGGCGGGTCTTCCCAGAACTTTTGACTGCGACAGTTTCTCGCTCTCAGGGTGACGCAGAGGTTCCCGGTGCCCAGCAGGTAGGTGGCCCACTACAGTTCCCGCTAACCCGGGCTGAGCCCCATACCCGCTCCCTGCCTCTCCCCCACAGCAGCCCAGCTTGGGTCTGCCTGAGCTGCAAGCCCGCGGGGTGCAGGGGTTAGTCCTGGGGTGGGTTGGGGGGGGAGGGGGAGTGAATTAGGGGAGAAAGGGAGTGCAGGTGCAGCAGGTGGCAGGTCAGGGGGAATCTTGTGGGGCTGCAAGTGGGAATTGTCTTCTCCTGATAATCTCGAGGCCCCACTGTTCCTACTTTCTCTTTTACTTTACCTCCCTCTCCCACGCACCCTCCCCTTCGTATGGACAATTCCTATTTCCTCTCTGTTTTGTAAATTTATGCTGTGGAAATGGAGCTTCAAAACCTCCCTGCCCCCCATCCAAATCATACTGCAGCCCCTAAACCCTTCTAAATAGAAGTTCAAGGCTCCAGCTCACGTGCCTTCTGCTACTTCCTGGACTCCGAAACTCTAGGAAGGAAAATTTAAAGTTTAAACCACTCCCGTTTCTTTTTCTTTTTAAAAAATATTTTTATTGATTTGAGAGAGGAAGGGAAAGGGAAAGAGAAACATCCATGCTGAGAATCAATGATCGGCTGCTTGCTGCACGCCCCCTCCTGGGGATGGAGCCTGCCACCCCCTGGCGCCTACCCGGCACCCTTCAGTCCGCAGGCTGATGCTCTAGCCCCTAAGCCAGTGGTCGGCAAACCTCGGCTCGCGAGCCATCTGCGACTCTTGGGCCCCTTGAGTGTGTGGCTCTTCCACAAAACGCCACGGACGGCCTGGGAGAGTCTACGTTGAAGAAGTGGCTTTAGGAGAAGTTTACATTTAAAAAATGTGGCTCTCCAAAGAAATGTCAACCGTTGTGCTGTTGATATCTGGCTCTGTGGGCTCATGAGTTTGCCGACCACTGGACTTTTGCCAAACTGGCCAGGGCCACACCTCCCTCTGCACCCCGATGGCCTGGGGGAGGCTCACCCAGGGTTCTCCACTGGCCCTTTGGTGGCCCTTGTGCCACTAGTGCCCCCCCCCTCGCCCAGGGCAACGCCTGGATTCCCCGCACCTGACTCACTGACACGCCCTTCCCTCCCTCCGCCCTTCCCTCCCTCCGTTTTCCCAGCCTCGGATTCAACTTTGAACCCCATCAGCTGCTGCTGGCAGCCTGGCTGCCTCCCGGTTGCTGAGTGCACTTACTTCTGAAGTGCCCCGGGGCGGGAGGCAGAGGGGAGGGCGGGGGGAGTTCTGACTCAGCCTGGGCTGTTCTGGAAGAGGTGGGGGAGAGGGTGCGGAGGAGGGAACTGCCCCTGGGAGGGATTTGTTCCAGTGCCCAGACCAGCTTGTGTCTTTGCAGGAGACACAGCCTCTGCTGCTCCTGTCTCTTCACCGGAACGCCGCACTCGGTGAGTACCGCCCACCCTTACAGATTGGGTCTCCCTCCAAAATTTCTTCAGCTGCTGTACCCCCGTATCCTGGTCCCCCTCGGGCGTTAGGGTCCCTGCTGGCATTAGTAGAAACTCTCTCCTAGCCCAGCGCCAGCCTGTGGTGCAGAGATTGATTCTCAGCATTGATGTTTCTCTTTCCCATCAGATGTGTGCTTGGAAATCCTTTTCTGAGCCTGCGTCCCTCCCCTCACAGCCGCACCGCCTCTGCGGTTCAGCCAGTGTGAGCCTTTTGGCCACCATCTGTTTTTGCCCAATCCCTCAAAATAAAAAACAGACACAAAACCAAAAGCCTGCCGTGTTGGCGCTGATTTGTAGGTATGGGGGGGAGGACATGGTGTATCAGAAACCATTGCAATCAGGTGGGGGAGCAACACGGCCATTGCCCTGGCGTGGAGTAGGGTGTGGTGTGGTGTTTGTTTCAATCTGTTTGTGTGTTTTTAAAATATATTTTTATTGATTTCAGAGAGGAAGGGAGAGGGGGAGAGAGAGATAAGGAACATCAATGATGGGGGAGAATCATTGATCCGCTGCCTCCTGCACGCCCCCTACTGGGGATCGGGCCTGCAACCCAAGCCTATGGCCTTGACTAAAGGCGGACACTTCAGTCTGCAGGCTGACGCTCTATCCACAGAGCCAAACTGGCTAAGGCCAGGTGTGGTGCTTGAATGGTGATTGTGATGAGCACAGACAGGCTTAGAAATAGACCTGCCAAAAGCTTCGGGATCTTTGAGGAACGGGGTGTGGTTCCGGGAAGGAAAATGAACTTTCTCAAGAGCCCACCCCAGCCTGCAGGCTCCAGGAAGAGGTTCCAGATTCCCAGTGACTCCTCCACCCCTGCTGGGAATACACACAGCAGTTTCATTTCTCTTCAGCATTCTCTGTGGACCAGGCAATGACGTGTTAGCTCACTGTTTGTTTTCTGTAAAAATCCCCTACTGGTCCGGGAGATTGCAGCTCAGGTCACCACCCTCCGACCGAGCAGGGGGAGGCGAGCTCACAGGTAACTCCGTTCAGAATGGCTGGGGGTCAGCTCGCAGTGAGACTGGGGTCCATGACTAGAAGCAGACGCACCTGCTGATTCTCTGGATTTTAAAACAGCCCCACCCGGCCAGGTGTGACTCAGTGATTGAGCATCAACACAGGAACCAAGAGGTCACCAGTTCAGTTCCTGGTCAGAGCACATGCCTGGGTTGCAGGCTCCATCCCCAGTAGGGGGCATGCAGGAGGCAGCCGATCCATGATCCTCTCTCATCATTGCTGTTTCTCTCTCCCTCTCCCCACTTCTCTGAAATCAATAAAAACACACTTTAAAAAAAAAAAAGTCTGACATAAATTATAATCCATGGACATATTTTTTGGCATATTACATGAAATGGTTGTCTGAGATCATAATGAAATTTTTGAGACATGTTTTGATTTAAAATGGAAGGCATATTGAATTTATGATATATTAATAGCCTGGCCAGAGAGAACAAACTGGCTTCAATAATAAACCTCAAAAGAATAGCCACAAGATGCCAAAACTGGTTTGGTTCAGTGGATAGAGCGTCAGCCTGCAGACTGAAGGGTCCCAGGTTTGATTCCGATCAAGGGTATGTACCTTGGTTGCGGGCACATTCCCAGTAGGAGGTGTGCAGGAGGCAGCTGATCAATGTTTCTCTTTAATCGATGTTTTTAACTCTCTCTCTCTTTCGCGCTCTCTCTCTCTCTCCCTTCCTCTCTGTAAAAAATCAATAAAATATATTTTTAAAAATAAAATAAAATAAAAGCCACAGGGTACGTGATCTAAGTTACAGAAGTTCGTTTTGGGTCAGGCAACTTCCTTTGCAAAGGGCTGAGACTTAAAATGGAAGATAACATTTGTTTACGAAAGCACAGAGGTAGAAGTAATGCTAGGACCGTGGTAGGCAAACTGCGGCTCTCGAGCCACATGTGGCTCTTTGGCCCCTTGAGTGTGGCTCTTCCACAAAAATACCATGGCCTGGGAGAGTCTCTTTTAAAGAAGCAGAGTTAGAAGAAGTTTAAGTTTAAAAAATGTGGCTCTCCAAAGAAATTCCAATCGTTGTCCTGTTGATATGTGGCTCTGTGGACTAATGAGTTCGCTGACCACTGGCCCAGGAGACACGGGCTTAGGAAACAAGGGATGGAGGCGAAGGAAAGGCCCTTGGAGCTTTGAAGGGAGGAAGGTCACGGTGATGCGTCTGGAGGGATGGGAACGGAAGTGGAATTGGAAGGGAAAGGCGCAGCTGGGTCCTCCATCCTAAGGGTTTAAAGGTGGAGATTTTAGGGGTGGTTCCAGGGGCAGATCTCAATAGAATATGCAGCAGCTTTCCAGGTGTGTCCTTTCAGGGCTGTGGTCTCCACTGATGGATCGGTCAGTGTCAGGGCAGGGAGGTTAGTATTCAATGCAGCTGGCCCTCAGGGCAGCCATGGTGCTGCTTGTCGGGTTTTGCTGCTTTTCTGGGCCTGGAGCTGAATGAAGTACAACCGAAGCCTAGATATTATCTCCAGGGAGGAAAGGTCAGGGGGTCTAAACCCAAATGACCAGGATATGCGAGAGGATTAAAGGTCATCGCGGGGACGAGGTCCCACCCTACACTTGTCCATTGCTAGGACTGGGGCCTTCCGCCCTGGTGACCTTCTGCACCTGGCCCATCGTCCTTGTTCTGCTCACGCCTGTGTAACGGCCACGCCTACAAAGGCAACAGCCACGATCTACTTAACACCAGGGACAAGAACAACACGCATGGCTGTCTTCATTGATTCAGTGCCTCCCATGGGCCAGGCCCCATTCTAGGGACTTCATCTATCTTCATGCACCTGTGCATATATTAAGGTGACCAGACGTCCTGCTTTTGGCGGGACAGTCCCGATTTTTAACAATTTGTCCCGCGGCGTTTTTAAAAAGTCCTGATTTTTGGAAAGAATCTTTTAAATCTTTTGGACTTTTTTTTTTTTTTTTTAATGCCGCGGGACGCGGGACAAATTGTTAAAAATCGGGACTGTTCCGCCAAAAGCAGGACGTCTGGTCACCTTAATATACATACGATTTTCATGTTAGAAATGCTGAGGTTCCGAGGCCTTCATTCCATTCACTGACTATACCTAAAACGTGGTATCATAAATACACTTCCGGAAGAAAAAAAAAAAAAGTGGGCTTGGTGTTGGAACCAGTCTTAGGCGAGGTTTCCTGTTCAGCTTACACCTGGATCTGACTTTTTGTAGAAGGAGCCTTGCTGTTGACACCTTTTCCTCCTTCCTGGGTCCATCACGAACCCTCTGAGTAGAGGTTGGTGCCAGAGAGAAGCCCATCGGTGGTGTTGGTGTTTAGGTAGGTGAACCCCAACATGGCGCTCCACTCATGACGTGTCTTTTCCACAGTACCCCGGTGTGTCACCATGGTGTCCCCTCCCTGCGGCCTGCTAACCCGCCAGAAGGAGCCAGGTAAGCCTGCCTGGTGCCTCTGGCTTGCCATTGTGCCTGTGGCACCTTGCACGATGCCCGGTCGGCGGGAGGCACTCTGTGAACCTTGGTGACCTCTTGACCTCTGGCCTCTCTCTAGTGCCCCTGAAGAGCATTTCGGTGACCTTGTCCATTCGTGACTTTGTGGCCGGTGTGTCCGCCACCCTGAACTATGAGAATGAGCAGGCAGTCCCGTTGGAGGTCTTCTTTGTTTTCCCCATGGACGAAGACTCGGCTGTCCACAGCTTCGAGGCCCTGGTGGATGGGAAGAAAATCGTGGCAGAATTGAAGGAGAAGTCGGAGGTACTAGGGATGAACACATTACTTCCTCCCTTCTTATGCCCATAATGCATACTCTTTAAAAAAAAAAAATATATATATATATATATATTTAAAAATCAATAATATATATAATTTATTGATTTTTTTTTTTTTACAGAGAGGAAGGGGGGAGGATAGAGAGTTAGAAACATCCATGAGAGAGAAACATTGATCAGCTGCCCCTTGCACACCTCCCCCTGGGGATGTGCCCGCAGCCAAGGCACATGCCCTGGACCGGAATTGAACCTGGGACCTTCCAGTCTGCAGGCCAACACTCTATCCACAGAGCCAAACCAGTTAGGGCCCATAATGCGTACTCTTTAGGGTCTCCATCATCAAATGCAACTTCCCCAAAATGGTGATGTCGAATGCTTTGTCCTCTACTCCCCTCTAGCCGATAACTTTGCTAAAACCATTGGAGGGAGACACCCCTCGGAAGCACTTCGAGTTTGGCTGTGAACTTGGCAAGACCGGTCACAGGCTCACCCCACTTGTCTCCCCTCCCCCCCACCCCGAACGTGTCACCCTTCATGTCATGTCACCTGTCTTTCCTTGTCCCCTTAGGCCCGCACCAATTATGAGGATGCCATCAGCCAGGGCCACCAAGCCTTCTTGTTGGAGGAGGATGATGAGGTTGGCGACACCTTCTCTTGCAATGTGGGGAACCTGGCCCCCGGGGCGAAGGCAGCACTCACCCTGAAGTACGTGCAGGAGCTGCCTCTAGAGGCCGACGGGGCCCTGCGCTACGTGCTCCCCGCTATCCTGAACCCTCGGTACAAGCTCTCTGGTGAGTGGGCTCTTTCTTCAAATACCAGCGGGGGGGGGGGGGACCCTCCTCAAGGTTGTCGGAGTGCTAAACATTGTGGGGAGGGGACACACCACTAAAGTAACTTTCCACAGGAGAAGGTGTGGGCGGCGGCCTTCAAGTAAAAACTCCTCCCATCCCCGCGAAGGACGTGCCCTACACGCTCAGCCTGGCTGCCACCGTCAGCTCCCAGCATGGCATCAAGAGCGTCCAATGCAACTGCCCCGTGGGTCCCATCCAGTACCTTGACGACAAGACGTCTGCTCAGGTAATTAGTGAGGGGGCACTGTGGTGGCCAGCACCCCTCTGTTTGGGTCCTGATCTTCCTCCTCGCTCCATCTCCTAAATATTGTTAACTTTCCCCTGTTAGCCCCGGGGGAATCACACTGGGTCCCTGCTATATATATATATATATATATATATATATATATATATATATATATATATATATATATTTTTTTTTTTTTTTTTAATTGATTTCAGAGAGGAAAGGTGAGGGGGAGAGAGAGAGAGAAACATCGATGATAAGAGAGAATTATTCACCGGCTGCCTCCTGCACGCCCCCTCCTGGGGATCGAGTTCACAACCCAGGCTTGTGCCCTGACCGGGAATTGAACCTGGGACCCTTCAGTCCACAGGCCAGTGCTCTATCCACTGAGCCAAACTGACTAGGACTGGGCCCCTTCTTGATCCTTATTCCATCTCCGGAGTCTCCCACCTGTTCTCGCCCTTGCTCCTGGCTCTGCTTACGCATGGAAGGAGCCGGGAGACCTCGGCTCTGACCTCAGCTCCGGGCAAGGGCAGGAGGGTCTAACGGGGCTTCTTGGCTTGCTCCCAACTCAGATCTCCTTGGCTGATGGACACAAGTTTGATCGGGATGTGGAGCTGCTGGTTTACTACAATGAGGTGCACACCCCCAGCGTGGCTGTGGAGATGGGGGCACCCGCAGCCAAGGCTGGTACGTGCCTTCTCCCTTTGGCCGTTGAATTACCCTCAAATTCCCCTCACTTTTTTCTCCTAAGGCCGTTGAATTACCCTCAAATTCCCCTCACATTTTTCTTTTCTTTTCTGTTCCTTAATGGGTAAAACAAAACAAAACAAAAACAGGAGTAGTTTACACTATGGCATGCAAAAATGGTTCAGGTCAATGAATATCATGTGACCATGCCCTATATGTACATTTAGGTGGATTAGTAGAGAATCAGACCAAGCACATGAAAAAAAAAATTGACGAGGGAAATGCAGCTAGTTTACAAATATTACCTAAGGAAATAAATGTAAATGTAAGTAAAAATATGCATTGAAATCGCCAGTTTAATATCAAAGATTAGTAAATAATCAAAATGTCTCACAGTAGCTAAATTCACTATGCTGGGATTACTTGATGAGTTATTATGCAGCTACTAGAATCATATATGTTGACACATTGAAATAATATGGGGGAAAAGGCTTCCAACAAGGATTAAGCAAAAGAAAAGTAAGTTATACAGATCAGCCTCTACAAGTATAAATAAAAGTAAAATAAAAATAAATGATGTGACTTTTTCACTTTTCAAATGATCAGAGATTTCCAAATCTGGGAACACCTCCTGCTTTAAAAAGCAAGGTGACTATGGCACCCTCGCAGATGGCTGTAAGCAACAATAATTTGGTATCGAACTTTGGAGGAGAGATTTGGCGCTATGTGCCAAGAGAAGTGTTCATTTTAGTGATTCGAATTTTAGGAATCTTTCCTACAGAAAAAGTGTCGTTAGAAGAAGTTTAAGTTTTTAAAATGTGGCTCTCCAGAGAAATTTCAATCGTTGCACTGTTGATATTTGGCTCTGTTGACTAATGAGTTTGCCGACCACTGCCTTGGGGACATTCATAGTCAAAGCACAATGTCTTGGGTTGGGCTCTAATTTCCATAACTGCTACTGCTTTAAAGATAAGTAGCTATAGTTGATCTTCAGTAGGCCATTTTCTTATCTCACGGTTGACATTTGGCCACGATAACTTCACACTCCAGCTCACAAATTGGAACGCCTTAATTTGCATTCACTTATTTAACCATTCCCCCACCTGCTACCCCCCTACCCTACCCCCCCGCAGGGCAGGCTGTCCACGCTAAAACCTCGTAGAGGGGTCCCAGCCTCAGCTAGGTTTGCTCCAGCTCCTGTTCCATGAAGCCCCGGGCCCTGTCGTCTTACATTCGTGGCCTGGTTCTGTCCTTCCCTTTGGGCGAGCTCCCCCTTGTGTGCCCATGAAGTACTCCCACAACAGGTATGTGTTGTGTGTGTTTTTAGTGCCTTTTCATCTCAGAGTGTCCTTATTTCTTTCTGAGTAGATTCTTTGATGGGAGATCCATCCGCGATGGTGAGTTTCTACCCAAACATCCCAGAGGCCCAGTCACCAACTGCATGTGGAGAATTTGTCTTCCTCATGGACCGCTCCGGAAGTATGCATTGTCCCATGAATCATCAGGATCCATCTCGGCTGCGCATAGGGGCGGCCAAGGTAAGACTAGTTCTTGTTCTGGTCACGTGCTCAACTAAGGATGAGTCTCTGGGGTTAAGTTAGAGTGCATCTGGGTCACGTGGATCCCTGTGTCCAGCTGCACTTCAGCTCACATGACCACTCCGAGGACTATAAGACTTGGAGGCATGCTCCTGGTGAAGGCCCACGCCCTCAAGAGTTCAATTGGGAGGGTCTGTGTGTCTTCAAGGATCCTCTCTCACTCATTCCTCATACTCTCTCCCTTCAGGAAACACTGATTTGGCTGCTGAAGAGTTTGCCTATGGGCTGTTATTTCAACATCTATGGATTTGGATCTACCTTTGAGGCCTTCTTTCCGTAAGTTTCTAGGAAGGCTACAGAGAGTCCGAAAAAAAAAGATCCTCTATAGAAAGGACTATAGCCAAAACCGGTGTGGCTCAGTGGATAGAGTGTTGGCCTGCAGACTGAAAGGTCCCAGGTTCGATTCCAGTCAAGGGCATGTACCTTGGTTGCAGGCACATCCCCAGGAGGGGATGTGCAAGAGGCAGCTGGTCGATGATTCTCTCTCATTGATGTTTCTAACTCTCTATCCTTCTCTCTTCCTCTCTGTAAAAAATCAATAAAAATATATTTTTTTTAGAAAGAAAGAAAGAAAGAAAGAAAGAAAGAACGAAAGAAAGAACGATATTGTTAAAGGGGTTATGGTAGCATTGACTTTGGCACTGGGTTGTATACAGTGCTAATCTCACTGTAGGGATGCAATACTGGGCAGTGTCAGCTAGCTGTGTCCCTGAGGGTGTTTGCTTTTCTCAGGGAGAGCGTGAAGTACACTCAGGAGACCATGGAGGAGGCGCTGAAGAGAGTTAAGAGCATGGACGCCAACCTCGGGGGCACAGAAATCTTGGCACCACTCAAGGCCATTTACAGTAAAGCTCCCATCCCAGGCCACCCTCTCCAGGTAAGAATTGGAACACAGCTCCCAGAAAGGGGGTAGAGAGAACGAAACTTGGGTTCCAGAATGAACAGCCCTGAGTTTCATTGTAGGGTTGTTGCAATATGGTGTGCATTTCAAAGACAACAAAGAGTTGTCTTGAGACATTCCATAGAATTCCTCTTAGCTCCATCTGAGCTTTGGAGGTGGAAGCTGTCTTGTAGAATGACACAAAAGCTTGAGGTGAAACTTTCAGGGTGATACAAATCCCTAGGGTTCGGGACAGACCATGTGAAAACAAGCGACGGTGGCCCACTAGGAATTCTCACACAGGTCTGAAGAGGCATCAGTGTCTCCGGCATGAAGTAGCCGAGTTTTTCAAGGGCAGATTGCGGTATTTTTAGAAGTGAACTTAAAAAAAAAAAAAAAGTGAACTTCATAGAGACTTGACCAATGTCTTCTGTGTTCAGCTTTTTGTGTTCACAGATGGAGAAGTGAGCGACACATTCAGTGTCGTTGGAGAAGTGAAAAGAAATGGGCAGAGGCACAGGTATACAGACAATGTCATTGCTGGCTGACGTGTGTATTTAGAGCTAAAATTATAAACATATCTGTAACTGAATCCTAAATTTGGGTACGTCATTTTCCATTGGTATTCTCTACTTTCTAATGATCAATTATGATTTCTTTATAAAACCTATGTTATTTGGAAGTTTACTAACTAGTGCACGATCTCTTCATGTATTTTTATGTGTGTGTTGTTGTTGTTTTTTTACCATGATTTTATCATGTCCTCCGTTAGTCCCCGTCTCTAACTTCAGGCTGTTTCACAACCGCAGGTGTTTCTCATTTGGAATTGGAGAAGGGGCCTCCACCAGCCTCATAAAGGGCATTGCCCGGGCTTCGGGGGGTGCGGCAGAATTTATCACAGGCAACGAGAGGATGCAGTCGAAGGTGAGGGGCAGGCCTGTGTCCAGGGGGGTGATCTAGAGGGAGTGGGGGGGGGCAGGGGAACCCTTCTGCAAGAGCAAAGGCAACCTATGGCCTCTAGGATTCACTTCTTTATATTATTCCCAAGGCTTTGGGCTACAGACTCCATGGGACTACTTTTGTCTTTATGTGAATGGGGCCCACTGTAGTTTCTGGAGAAATGGCATCTAGTCCCAGCAACAAGATGCTGGAAGAGGTCAGGGCTTTGTGTTTCAAACAAGAAACAGAAACTTAAGAATTTTGCCTGTTGAGCTTGGCATTCCAGGTGTGTGCAAATGACACAAAGAACACAAGAAGGATGGCCCTAGCCGGTTTGGCTCAGTGGATAGAGCACCGGCCTGTAGACCAAAGAGTCCTGGGTTCCATTCCAACCAAGGTCAAGGGCATGTACCTTGGTTGCAGGCTCCTCCCCAACCCGGGCCCTGGTCAGGGCGCATGCAGGAGGCAACCCATCCATGTGTTTCTCTTACATCCATGTTTCTCTCTGTCTTTCTCTTTCTCTGAAGATGGATGGAAAAAATATCCTCAGGTGAGGATTAACAACAACAAAACACAAACAAAACAAAAAAATATACAAAAACAAGGACAGCCTGGAATATGTCTGTAAACTGCTGCTCCATTTGACGAGTAAGCACAGGGAAGGCATCCTCCACCTCTAGTTATAGTGCTACGTTCCTTGGAGGAATCTCTTTCACACCCCACGTGGAAAGGGTTCCAATTCAGGGTTCAGGTTCTGGAGAAGGGCCGCACACAAATGAAGAGAGACTTGAAGAAATTCAATTTGGCGATATGGGGGGCCAGGCGGTAGTCCAACTCTAGTGGGAGAATACTCCTGCTCTGGCCCTGCCATCCCCTTTTAGTGAGGCTTTGGGGAAAACATCTTAGGCAACATACACAGAAATTTACATGGAGCCCTTAGGCAGGAAATAACAGAAACTTACACAGGACAAACAAGGTGGAGGCTGCTTCAGTAAACAATGTCTCAGCTAAAGGGTGAGTGGTTAGAGCAATGAAGTTGGTTAACCAGCCTTTCTGGCTTCCTGTCAACATCTCTCTCTCTCTCTTTTTTTTTTTTTTAAATATATTTTATTGATTTTTTTACAGAGAGGAGGAAAGAGGGATAGAGAGCTAGAGATGTCGATGAGAGAGAAACATCGACCAGCTGCCTCTTGCACACCCCCTACTGGGGATGCGCCCGCAACCAATGTACATGCCCTTGACCGGAATCGAATCTGGCACCTTTCAGTCCGCAGACCGACGCTCTACCACTGAGCCAAACCGGTTTCCGCAACATCTCTTTTAGTGAAACTGATTTGTTTCGGGCAGTTCCTCTTTCCCAGTTGCTGCCATTTCTTGTCGAATGCGTACTTCTCTATTACTTTATTCACATGTATTACATTTCTCTGCCTTAGCTTCCTCGTGTATAAAGCAAAAGTAAGAACACCCACCTGCTAGTAGAGTACTGGGGAGAAGGTCTACCATGCGTTGGGCTGCATAGCTCGTGGGCACGATGAGCACTGAGGTAGTAGGCGGTATGGTTGCCATTATGTATTTGTGGTGCATTTATGTATTTATTCTGTTCTCTTCCCTCCGCCAGGCTCTCAGGGCCCTGAAGCGCTCTCTGCAGCCTGTGGTAGAGGATGTTTCCCTGAGCTGGGATTTGCCTGCCGGTCTGTCTGCTAAATTGCTTTCCCCAGAGCCAACTGTCATCTTCCAGGGTCAAAGGCTAATCGTCTATGCCCAGTTGACTGGGACCATGCCGGTGAGATTCCATTCTTGCTTGTTCCTCCTGGGCAAACTCATTAGTCAACAGAGCCAACGATTGAAATTTCTTTTGGAGAGCCACATTTTTTTTTAAACGTAAACTAGATAGGTAGGTACGTTATTATTAACGTAATGAGGGTACGTGGTATTTTGTGGAAGAGCCGCCCTCTGGGGGCCAAAGAGCCGCATGTGGCTTGCGAGCCGCAGTTTGCTGACCACTGCTCTAGCCACTATCGGCGCTGCCTCGAGCTCTTCTCCGGACCTCGCCATCATGTCAAAGTCTATGGTTTTCTGAACTAGCCAGTAACTTGAAATGGGTGGGATTGGGGAGCTGCCCCAACTCTGACATCTCTCCCTGGGTGATCTCTCACTTCCCTCGTGTCTACTCTTCTCTGCGTTTTAGCCAGCAGAGGCAACGGGAAAAGTTTGCCTCAAGTACACCCTCCAGGGCAAGCAGTTTGAGAACCCAGTGGCGTTTTCTCTACAGCCCAAGTCGGATGCCAAGTAAAATTTCCATTGTTTTTTCCTTTCCTAATTCCTTCCTTTTCTCTCTCCTTTTCCTCCCCACTTCTTCCCTCTCCTCTTCTTTCATTCCTCTCCTTCCCTTCCCTCCACTTCCCTTTCTTCTTGTCTCTGCCATCCTTGGGGGTGAGTTTCCTGCTCTTCATTTTGGGCTCAAGTGATTTCCCTAAAATCAAATTTCCTTTTCTGGCCACTCAGAATTCATCTCACCCCCATCTTTATGCCCCCCCCTCCCCCCTGCGCCATCCCTAGTTTCTCTGCGTAGCGGCACAGGGGTGCTTCTCCCCGAGTCACAGGAATTCTTTTTATTTTTCTTTCTTTCTTTTTTTTTTCGGTTAGCCTCACCATTCATCGCCTTGCTGCCAAGTCTTTCATCCAGACCAAGGACGTGGGCTTCCATGAGACTCCAGCAAATGATAAGAAAGACGTCTTGAAGATAAGCCTGGAGTGTGGCGTCATAAGCTCCCACACGGCTTTCATCGCCATCAACAAGGACCTCAACAAGCCGGTCCAAGGACCCCTGACTCGCAGTGACGTTCCAAGTCCAATGCTATTTGCTCAAAGTGCGGCATTTGGTTCTCCTAGGATGATGATGTGTAGTGCACCTGCTCCTCCGATGCCTGGTAATTCTCTTCGGAGGTTCGGTGCTTCTCTTCCAAACCCACTGAGCAGCCTTAAAGGTGGTAGGTTTTATTGTAATCAAACTCACGTAAAACAAGGGTCCCTGTATATATCATTTAAAGCAAATGTTTATGAAAAGTCCTTCCCCTCCCGCCACTCCTTGTCATCTCCGCATCTAGGATCTCTGACTGCTGTAAAACTTTTCTGTCCTAGAAAACTAGAAATTACACCATTAGCAAGAAAATGTAAAGTACTCCAAGGGTGGAGGTAGGGGGATGAGGGAAATGAAGCTGAAAGTGCATATACACATTGAGTAGTTACACTGCCTAAACCTGAAGCTGATGTATCCTATCGATCCTGGTTAATGATTACACAAATGGCCGCAAACAACCTGGTAGTGTTAGGAAATGGGTGCTGATTGCTGAGCTGTTTCAGACATGAGCCAAAGCTGGAGAGTAAAATGCTCAGAGGGAAATAGAGCTTTTTGTCAAGGAATATTGAGGGGCCGATCAGCTGCAAGGATTGACTGAGATCACCATGGAGGATAAGCTATGTGGCGTCCCACCCAACAGGATTTGCTTCAGCAGGGCTCTGGTACCTGCTGAGTCTACCTCATGCTTATGTTGCTTGTGGAGGTGGTGGAGTGGTGATGCTTTGACATGGTCTGAAGCTGTCCACTGGGTGCACTGGCTCTGGAGACTCCTGGGAGATTCAGGCCAAGGTTAGCCACTACCTTTGTTCTGCCCCAGGGCCACCCAGCATGAGCAACAAAATGATCTGCAGATGGCTGCTACTTGTGTTGAGCTTGGAGGTGCCTAGGAGAAGCCAAGCTACAAACCAAGGCTGGCTGTGGCTAGTGCCAGGCCCAGAGTCACTTAGCAACAGGTACTAGGCCAGATGCTGCTTATTTGAGAGATTTTAGGAAAATATGAAGCATGAGCCAAGATAAGCCATTCTGATGATAATGCCACTAGAAAGAGCCGGTGTGGACAGGGCTCCACCAGGGTGGGGCTAACAATGTTAATCCAGGTTGATGGAGACTCAGATATGGTGGCCACCTGATGGTCCTTTGGGGGAGGGTTCAACAAAGGAACAATGGCCTCTACCAGTACTTCTGTCTGGAAGAAAGCTGCCCATCCAGCTCGTGCTATGATGCCAGACCATTCCGTTCCTCCCTGTATGCCTCAGGTGCCTTTCAAGTTGCTGTCCCCATGCTGGAGCTCTGAGGAGTGAGTCTAAGTTCATCCATATGTGGACCCTTTAGGAGGAACTGCTTGGGACTCCTGCAGCCTCTGTCTCCCTCAGCCTCATCCCTCGCTGTTTTTTTGTAACCAGAAGTTATGGGGACTTTTCTTTCCAGCACTGGAACCCTGAGCTGGAAACTTGGTGTGGGGCTGGGACGCCTTGCTCTTCAGGGGGTACCTCTGTAGCTGAGATATCCCCCTAGTTATTATCTGCCCCTACATGGATGTGGCACCAATCCCTCCTACCAGCCTTGATGTAGCTGCTTCTTTAATTCCATTGTTATAGGACTTCCATTGAGCTTGATTTCAGGCAGTTCTGAATGATGGTTATTCTGTAGTTTAGTTATAATTTTGATGTGGTTGTGGGAGGAGGCAAGTATACTGGATTTATTTATATTGCCATCTTTTTTTTTTAAGTATATTTATTTTTCAACTAGTTTTTTACAGGTAGAACAATTCTGCTTGATAACCAGATATTTTGTCTTGGGAAGGAGTGGCTGGAGTAGAGTGGAGGTTTGGAGGTTGAAGCCATTTGAATGGAGGAAGACAAGAAGCTTTGAAATAGGGTGTTGGATAGGTTATGTACATGGGTGCTTAAACTCTACAGAGGATTGCAGGCTTTGCAAGGAAGTGAAAGCCTTCTATCTAGTTTTCAGATACTTCAGTGAATGTAGAAAAGTGACAAAGAAGTTGGTGGTTGACAGCAGTGAGGCTACTAGTATGAGGAAGGTAATCCAGGTGAAGGTGAAGAGTCATGATATGGATGTGGCCGTTGGGACTGAAGAGGATGCCCACCCCACCTACCTCACCTCTCCAACCTGGACGCTTGGGTTCTGGTATCTGGGGCAACCACCATTTGAGAAGGATAAAGGGAGAAAGGATTTCTAGGAGGAAAAATTTAGTTTTAAGTTAAGGTGAGTAGTGGAAGGAAGCCTCCGATAATGAAACCAAGGATGCCGAAAAAAATCATTGTCATGCATCAGGAGGACACCGTTGAAAGGGTCGGAGGGTGCAGGATTTGGGCTCCTGGGAGAAGAAGAAAAGGCACAATGAAGATGATGACTGAGGCTGGCCCGAAGAGGAGCATACATCTCAAATTATCAGGGCCCTTTGCCTACAGCAGAGAGCATAGGGTGCCTCAGTGTCAATGTCTATATTTTTCTTTTTAAGCTCATACAAAGCCCTATTCTCTTACCATCCTCCGGCATCTCTGCCCATCTCATACCAGAGCATGTCATAGCAGAAGCATGGTTATGACCCCCATAGGTCCACAATTAATAAGAGCCTGTATTAATTTCCAGATGAGCATCTTTCCGGGGATATTTTCTCACCAGGGCTTGTCTGTCACACATATAGGACTAAAACTAGCCAAACACCGAAGTGGTGGGTCTAGAGCAATGCAAGTCCAGCTTTCGGGGGAGCAAATTGATGTTGACAGGGACATGTCAATGGAATATTCTTCCACCGACGTGACCGACTTGGAAACTAACCATACAGGTGAGATGACCCTCAGTTCTCTTTTTTCTAATCTATGGGAACCGAAGAACTCAACTTCAGTGTCCCACTGTCTTGTGGCTTTCTCTACCTAGAAGGTGATGGGCTGGAAAAGCGTCGGGGGTAGAGGGTAAAATTTCCCAGTTTCCTGGTCAGGGCCAGCCCCGCTTCCATAGTCTACAACACAGGACACGGAAGCCTGCCCCCGTGGAGTTCGGGACGAGCCCCTTTGCCGTCTCAGCTCATACACCTTGCCTACCAATCGGGTCCTCCTCTTGCAAAACCCACCTGCCAGCCTGTTTGGGCCCAGCTGCATCAATCATTCTCTTGGGGTTGAAGACTGATCTTTTTTAATGCTGTCTGATGACTTCCTGACACTACAAAGCTGTTCCTTGGTCATCTCATTGCCTTGTGTCCCATACAGCTGGGTAGTCAAAATCCATGTTACCTAAAATAGACTTAAAGGCAACTTCTGTCCACTCTCTTCCTGTTTGTTTTTTGTTTGTTTGTTGTTTGTTTGTTTGTTTTTTAATATATTTTTATTGATTTTTTTTTTTTTACAGAGAGGAAGGGAGAGGGATAGAGAGTTAGAAACACCAATGAGAGAGAAACATCAATCAGCTGCCTCTTGCACACCCCCTATTGGGGATATGCGTGCAACCAAGGTACATGCCCTTGACCAGAATCGAACCTGGGACCTTTCAGTCTGCAGGCCAACGCTCTATCCACTGAGCCAAACCGGTTTCTGCAGGATCTGTACTCTTGCTATAGCCTTTCTCTGGATTCAGACCTCCCTCCCTGACGTATGCCAAGGGGCCAAATTACACTTCCTAGTTTCTCATCTTCTTTCTTTTTTTCTCTCCTCCAAAATCTTTGAAGATGATCCTCTCGTACAGCTGATTTCCCTCCAGAAGGCAGATGGTTCCTGGGATCTGAATGAAGGTCTGGCCGCGGCCCTTGGTATGAGCTTGGGAGATATACAGGCTGCACTCCCTGTCAAGGTGAGACTCGGGGAAGAAAAAGGGAATCTGTCTGTTTTTGAGAAGTTGGGATCAGTAAAGAGAATTGGGTGAATCATGACTCGCCCGAGGAAGCAGAGTATAGGAGGGTAGACACTACATAAATCTCTCATAAATAGAGATTGAAGGTTCCTTCTGGATAGGTTAGAACAGAAGGAACAAGGAACTCCTGGTCCAGCTAGTAGGAGCTGATGGATGACAAAGGGAACATTCTCTTTTCCTTTGGCTGATTTCCTGCCACCCAGCTCAGTGATGATAACCGCTGATCACTGAGCAGTAACTGCGCTAAACACTTCACTTTCATGATCTTACTTTTTCCTCACAACAGTGAAAAAAAGGTGAGTCCTATTTATGTTGCTGTTTATAGATGAAGGAGCTGAAACCCAGGGAAGTATAATAACATGTCTAAGTTTACCTAACTAGTTAGTGGCAGAGTGGGGTTCAATTCAAGGACTATTTTTCGAACCCACTTTATTGCTTCTCTTCCTAATGTGGAAGTTGTCCAGAAATGAGCAAGATCTAAGTTACGGATGTGAAGCATACACAGGGGTGATGTAATTATTGCAAATGCGTTCAAGTCTGCTGATGAGGACACATTACGTCCTGGAATTTCAAGGTGGCTTGCGAACCAAGATATTGTGAAATATGAGACAAATGCCAAAATCTGGAAGGTGATTCAGTAAACCTCAGATATCTGAAACAAGACTACTCAGAGGACAGGATAGCTGCTTCCAAATGTTAACGCTCATGAGATAAAAGAATGTATTTTAATCTGTTGTTTCTAAAAACTGGCATTGGGAGCCGAGGGTGAAAGCTCTATGGATGGCTTTCTGTTGAGCTAGATGAGCACGATGACCTTGACCCAGAACGTTTGGTCTCCAGTCCCAGTTCCATCACGTGCTTCTAGAAGACTCACTGTGGGCAAATCATTTCACTTTTATATGAATCTGTTTTCTCTCTTAAAATGTGTGGCAATTGGTCATTCTCCATGTGTTCTTGTTTTGGTGGGGTTTCAAATAAAAACACACACGTGAAGATGCTTAAGGAAATACAGAAAGCTACTGTGTGTGTGTGTGTGTGTGTGTGTGTGTGTGTGTGTGTGTTGCTGTTTTATCACAGCTGGCTGATTCTTGGTGGGGTGTCTTAGGAGTTTCAAGCCATGTCCTGGTGGTTACACTGGATTTAAAATTTAAGACATTTCTACCTTCAGACTCACTGGAGCCCTAACCCATTTGGCTCAGTGCAGTGGTCGGCAAACTCATGAGTCAACAGAGCCAAACAGCAACAGTACAACGATTGAAATTTCTTTTGAGAGCTACATTTTTTAAACTTAAACTATACAGGTAGGCACATTGTTATTAACTTTATTAGGCTACTCCTAAGCTGGCCTTTGCTAAAAACTCAAGGGGCCAAAGACCCGCATGTGGCTCGCGAGCCGCAGTTTGCCAACCACCGGGCGGATAGAGCGTCGGCCTGCAGACTGAAAGGTCCCGGGTTTGATTCCGGTCAAGGGTATGTACCTTGGTTGCGGGCACGTCCCCAGTAGGAGGTGTGCAGGAGGCAACTGATCGATGTTTCTCTCTCATCGATGTTTCTAGTTCTCTATCCCTCTCCCTTCCTCTCTGTAAAAAAAAATCAATGAAATATATATTTTTTTAAAAAGACTCACTGGATTGTTGCCCTGAGGTTTAGGGCCTGGCATTAGAAGCCCTAAAGGTGGTAGCGGAGGAGGGAATGCAGGCTTCAGGGACGCCTCCGTCTGTTGTAGAGCGCGGATTCCTCAGGCTGGGCCACTGTCCTGGCAGTGACCTGGCTGCATGACAAGCATAAGGACAAGAAAGGCGAGTGGGAACTTCTGGAAAGGAAAGCTGTGGCCTGGATTCACAGCCATGCAGGTAGGAGCACAATCCCGGGACCTCATCTCCTTCCCCTCTTCGGAAGCTCCGCATCTTCCCAGACACTGAGCCTCCAGACCTTGGCGGGTCTCCCAGCTGATTCTTCCCGGGGCAGGAGGAGGGCACAGTCTTAAAGTGGGGGAGGGGGTGGGAGGTGTGTAACGAGGAAAAGGGGCATCGAGTGGCATTTATTCTTCTCGCTATGTCCATACTGTGCTGAGCATGAGTTTTTTCTTGTTTGAGTGTTTAGTATCTCCTGCTGCTGAATACCTCTGGGGCCAGAGGAAAGGGAAGGGGGTCTAGGCCATGTGACCAGAAAAGTTGGGGGTGTTAAATAAGGACTCAGGGGAGAGGATCGGGGAGGTTCAGGGGAGACTGGGAGAAAGGCATTTCCTGTCACTGCTGTCCCTCGGCCCTCACTTTGGTTTTCTCCTCACAGGCTCCTCCAAGGATGGGCTGGTGAAAGCTGCCGTGGACTTTCTGAAGTCATCGGTGGATCCTGCCGTTTTCGCCCCCTGAGGATCCTGTCCAGAAGCATATTCTTCCTGCTCCTGGACCCTCCTGTCCCCTCTGCCTTCCCAAACGCGATCTGTCTTGTATACCTCTCCTGTCGGTTTCCTGTGATACATTCCCGCCCCTCCTCCCCTCCATGTTTCAGGTTCCCTCTGGATATGACATCCTTTCCCCAGCATGTGCCCTCAGCCAGGCATCATGGTCCCACACCTGCTCTCTTTCTGGAAGGAGATCAGAGGCAGTCAAGTCCCTCCCCGGCTTTTCAGAGCAACAACAGGAAGAACAAGTGGTGTGGACTCCAGGCTAACGGTTGCCGGGTTGATGTCAGGGACCTTTCAGTCCCAAACGCTATCCTAGTGGAAGGGACCCTATTGGATGTGTTGTTCCCTAACATACTGCTGTATCAATATTAAAATGACACCTTGTTGTATCTGATACTGTATAGATTTATTCGTTGAATCTGCGTGGGTTTTTTCATCCCTTGTTTTCCCTCCCAACTTATATTTAATTGTTGCCCATTCAAGTTGAAGTTCGCCTTTGCATGAGGCAGGCTGGTATCTAAGTCTACCGTATTGTTGTCATGACAAAAGAGAGTTTCCTAAGGGCCATGAAATGTGCAGAACTACCCTCTGCACACAAAAGATGGCCCTCGGCATTTATTATTCAGAGCGTGTATTCATTACTTTTATTGTTTACCTCCCCAGTGCTCACCCTTCAGCTTCCAGGCTGGGATTTGGGGATTTCTAAAGCAAAAACCGAACATGAACAAAAAAACAATAATCTTGATTCTGTCTTCTTTATAATGCAGAGTCCTCTCATTTTTCCATTCGAGTTCTCATGCTTTGAAACCTACCAACCTGGCCGAAACCGGTTTGGCTCAATGGATAGAGCTTCGGCTTGGGGACTGAAAGGTCCCTGGTTCGATTCCGATCAAGGGCATGTACCTTGGTTGCAGGCATATCCCCAGTAGGGGGTGTGCAAGAGGCAGCTGATCGATGACTCCCTCTCATCGATGTTTCTAACTCTCTATCTCTCTCCCTTCCTCTCTGTACAAAATCAATAAAATATATTTTTTTAAAAAAGAAGAAGAAACCTACCAACCTGTACATGTCTCCAATCGAAACAAGTGTCAATCTTCGTAATCAACAGACATGTTTATGGAAGCCCACCTTCAGGTGGCACTCCGTGTTCTGTTCCATTGGTCTATATGCCTGTTCTTGTGCCAGCACCTGGCTGTTTTGATTATAATGACTTGATAGTATAGTTTGATATCTGATATTATGACTTTCCAACTTTGTTCTTCTTTTTCATGATGGCTGAAACTACTTGGGGTCTTCTTTGGTTCTATATCTATTTTTTGGAATATTCGTTCTAGATCTGTAAAATACGCCATTGATATTTTAATAGGGATTGCATTGAATCTGTAGATTGTGTTGGGTACTTTTGGACATTTTAATCATGTTTATTTTCCCAACCCATGAACAGAGTATGTCTTTCCATTTGTTTGTATCTTCCATTTATTGTTCCAATGTCCTATAGTTTTCTAAGGACAAGTCTTTTATCTCCTTGGTTAAGTTTATTCCTAGGTATTATTTTTTTGTTGTTGTTGCTATGGTAAATGGGATTTTTTTTTTTTTTTTAGTTTATCTTTCTTAGAGTTCATTATTAGTGTATATATATGCTATCAATTTCTAGATGTTATTTTTGTATCCTGTTACTTTGCCAAATTCACAAGTCTACTAGGTCTTTTGTGGAGTCTTGAGGGTTTTACTGTGCCCCTTACAATTTGATTTGATTTTTTTAGGCTAATGCTGGCCACATAAAAAGAGCTAGGGCATCTTCCTTCCTGTTGAAATTTTTCGAGTAGGTTTTAGTTCTGTGAAATATGCCATTGGTATTTTAATATGGACTGCGTTGAATCTATAGATTGCTTTGTGTATTATGGACATTTTAGTTGGTGTTAGTTCTTCTTTGAATGTTTGCTAAAACTCTCCTGTGGAGCCATAAGGTCCAGGACTTTTGTTTATTATTATTATTATATTTTTATTATAAATTTTTATTATTATTACTGGTTCAAATTCGTTAGTTTTTATTGGTCCATTCAGGTTTTTTGATTCTTATTGAGTTTTGGAATATACGATGTTTCTATGAATTTGTCCATATTGTGCAGGTTGTCCAGTTTGTTGGTACATAGCTGTTCATAGTATTTTCTTATAATTCTTTGTATTTCTGTTCTTACTTCATCTCATTTGTTTCTGATTTTATTAATTTAGGTCCTCTTTGTTTATTGATGAGTCTGGCTAGTGGTTCATCAATCTTATTTATCTTTAAAAGACCAGCTCTTGGTTTAATTTATCTTGTGTATTGTTCTTTTATATTCCATATCATTTATTTCCATTCTCATCTTTGTTATTTACTTCCTTCTACTTATTCTTGTATTTTCTTGTTGTTCTTGTTCTAATTCTTTTAGTTGTAGGGTTAGATAGTATATTAGTGATTGTTTTTGTTTCTAGAGGTAGGCCTGTAAAAAAGGAAACCAAAAGACAGCAGGAATGCTCTCAGGAATGCTTTCACTCACTGTGTCCCATAGAGTTTGAGGTGTGTGTTCATTTTCAGTTGTTTCCAGGAAGTTTTCAATTTTTTCCCCTTGATCTCATTGATTAATAAATAACATACTATTTCGCTTCAGTGTATCAGAATATTTTGTTTTTATTGAAGTATTTCTAGTTTCATGCCATGGTGATCTGAGAAGATACTTGGATTATTTCAATCTTCTTTAATTTGTAGAAACTTACTTTGTGCCCTATCATGTGGTCTATCCTCAAGAATGTCCCATGTGCACTTGAGAAGACTGTATATTCTGCAGCTTTGGGGTGAAATGTTCTGTAAATGTTGATTAACTCTGTCTGATCTGGTTTCTCGTTTGAAGTTGCTGTTTCCTTATTCATTTTTTATCTGGAAGATCTATACAGTGATGTCAGTGGATTGTTCAAATCCCCTACTGTGACTATCTTGCTGTTGATCTCTCCCTTAAAGTTCTCCAAGAGATATGTTATATATTTATGTGCTCCTATATTGGGTGCATATATGTTTAGCAGGGTTATATTCTCTTGTTGGATCACATCCTTTGGTATAATGTAGTAGCCTTTGTATATTTTATGGCTTTTGTTTTGAAGCCTATTTTGTTAGATATAGATATAGATATAGATATAGATATAGATATAGATATAGATATAGGTATAGGTATAGGTATAGGTATAGGTATAGATATAGATATAGATTTTTTTTTAACTATCCCTGCTGTCTTTTGGTTTCCTTTTGCATGGAAATTTATTTTTCAATCCCATCCTTTTCATCCTATGTATCTTTTGTTCTGAGTTGGTTCTCTTGTAGACTATATATATATATATATATATATATATAATATTTTCTTATCCATTCAGCTACTCTGTGTATTTTGATTGGAGCATTTCGTTCATTTACATTTAAGGTTAGTATTGGCAGCTACTCATTTATTGTCATTTTTGTTCTTTATACCTGTGTTCCTCTCTTTCTCTCTATTCTTCTCACAACAGTCATTTTAGCATTTCTTGCAGAGCTAGTTTGGTGGTAATAAACTCCTTTAGCCTTTTTTTTTTTTTTTAATCTGGGAAAGTCTTTTTTGGGGCTCTCTAAATATATCCCCATTTTGGCTGCCTCTCTGTATTTGTTTCTGTGTATTAGATAGATCTTCTATGTCTTCTGTTCTAGGTAGAATGGCCTTGTATAGTAGATTTCCTGTGAAATTCAGTCTTTTTTATTATCTGAACCGGGTGCTTCAGAGATGTCCCTTGTGTGGCTTATGTGAGTACTCTTGTTGTTAGTAAGTCTTGATGGCTGCTGACTTATCCGTGGGTGGGTTTGTCCCTCAGGCTAGCTGACTGTGGGGAGATATAGATATTTCCCACTTGAGGGCACCCTTTCTGATGATCTCATTACTATTATCTTTATAATAACTAGGTGATAAATTAGTTTCACAAACTAATTGCTCCCTCAGAGCCATCAGTGGGTCCAAAGTAGGGCTTAAGAGGGTTTGAAAAAAACCCCCAAAAAAACAAGGAAGCAATCCAGGGAGAGTGAGTCTAGGCAAGTCTTGATCGGTGCAAACCCTATGAGTCTCGATTCTTTATAAGTAGGAGACCTGACACGCCTTTAGCTGGAGCACTCTGTGCTCTGCCAAGAAGCAGTAACTGCCAGCTCTTTATAACCGCACTTTGGAAACTTAATGGTGCTCTCAGGTACCGTATTTTCCGGCGTATAAGACGACCACTGTGTTCTAGTAAAAAGCCTGCTCAGATTGGCCAGAGTCAGAGAGGCGGTCTATTAAAAAAAAGAACTGGTGTTGCCTCGGAAGTGGGGGGTAGTCTTATACAGCGAAGATAGGCCTAAACGTATGTTTTAACTGTAAAAATTAGGGGATCGTCTTCTACGCCGGAAAATACGGTAGACTTTTGAGAGTGTCCACACTGCTGCTCTTATATGACTACTGGAGGTCCAGGGCAAGAATTTGTACAAGGTGAGGTCCCTTGGCCTGGCTGGCAATTGGAGTCCATGTGGGGAGAGGCCGGCAGGGGCGGGGGAAAGACGGAGGAAGGTTGGCCCCAGCAGCAAGCTAAGCAACGGCTGATTCCATGAGTAATTGGGCTCCCTCCTCCCTCCTATCTGGGTCCGGGGTGTGCATAAAACAGATTTAGGGATGTCAGGGCCCCAGCAGTAAGGTCTGGGTCAGTGCACATCATAGCTACAGCCGATGGGCCAGTCATTCTAATCATTCCGATTGTTGGGTCCTAATAGTTGCTTAGGTTTTTATATATATTGATGAGCTCCAGCTCCACACACAAAGTCCTTCCTAATCCTGCCAACTTCTTTTTCCTAAAAAGGCCTTCTTATAGAATCATCCAGTATCAAGAAGTCTGATCACAGGCAAGGACCAAAGACCTCTGACAGCCTTTGCTGACCTGGGACAG